ACTTCGTTTATTTAGAATATATTTTCTTTACCAATAAAATAAAAATCTCTCAGTCAATCAGAAACCCGGATTCATGCCTTCGAGGAAGGTCCCGTTTGAACGCTCACATCGTTTTTTTTTTCGTTTGGGGGAAAACTAAAACTGGTCGCAATTTTCGAATAAGAATGAGTCGGCAATTTTTAGTGGAGTCGAAAATTTGGAGGTAAATAAAACACCGAAACCCGGCAAATAAATAGTCGTTCGAATTTTTAGAGGGGTCGAAATTTTGGAGTTTTCACGGTACTAATTATTCCATTTCAATGAAACTTAGTACAAAGATGCTCTAGGACAATGTACAAACCTAATTAGTTTGGGGTAAAAATCTGTTCATATTAATTCCCTAATAAGCATAATAATTCATAATTTTTTGGTTCTAATCACATTTCAATTAAACTTGGAGACATAGATTTTCTGTTACATTGCGCAGACCTCATTAGTTTTACACTCAAATCTGGTCATATTAATTTTCTGATTTGCATAATTAGTTTTCAGCTAAGTAATTTCGAATTATATTTAATGTGTCTCCAATACTCTCAGCACATGGGAGTTCTTTCTAAGCTTTCTTTGATTTTAATTCTTGGTAATTAGTGTCACTAGCGATGAAGTAGTAAAAACGCAATTAATCGCAGTGCGGCAACTCGGGATAGACCATCCCGACGCAATGGGCAAATTATTACTACCCTCGTATTTTGGGTTTGCCAGCTCCGCACCCTTGATAGACTTGGTAACTTCTTGTAGACTTTCGTTTTTATCACTGTTTTTGTAAGGCTAACTATGTACAAAGGCAGGATTACCTTTCGATCAATACATGTTATTGTTTTAAAGATGTGCTAGACGAGGCTGACACTTGTAAACAATACAACGTGAATAAGCATCGCGGGCAGGATTTCAAGGATCGCGGGCGAAACAAAAGCGACGCGGCTGTTTGTCTAAGCGACGCCAAAAAAAATCTCAGAGGAGTTAAAAGCCGTTGCTGGTGAAAAGTTACCTCAGCTTTGGGGTCAAATTTCTCGGTAATGAAAAAAGATATCAAAAATTCAAATAGTAACTTTGTGCCCACACTCAAGTTGAGTAGAATGAGCTATGTCTGAGGTATTTTATCCCAAATTTGTAGGAGGAGATACATTTGGCGCGAAGCTATAAAAAAAAACCTGTTTTTTTTTTGCTGTTGCTATGGCAACGGTGGGCCATTTTTCCCCAGATTTTTCCTAATAACTAGGGTGAAGGTGTGACCTACCTGCCAAGTTTGAGCAAAATTGGCCAAGCCAAAAAAATCACAGAAGAAATAATACGTGAAAACATTGGAAATCACACACACACACACACACACACACAAAAAACGACAAAAGTGATTATAAGGGCAATCCTAGCGGAGCGGATCGCCATTAATTAATATTTCATTTTTGTTAGTGTATCTTTAATTTTATTTATTAAAATATGTACACATATCTAATTGGGGTGGAAATTGCCAAGCCAATTTATAAAATTATAAACAAATATTTTCGTAAATAACACTGTCCGTGAAATACGCCCTTGAGAAGTGTTACTGATGGAGTATTTCATATTGCAATTTCTTTCAATTTAATTAGTTGTATTGCAATGCATTAGTAATAATGTAAATATATATATATACATTTCTTTATTGAGACTGAGTTATATATTTGTTGCGTACTATAATTTATCTATATTGGAAAACGGTTATCGGGGATTATTAATTTTAATAAACAATATTCAACTATCCTTTGCAACACCAATAAGATCATAATGATAATGTTTCTTGGTTTTTGAAACTATGGGCATTATCAGAGCATGGGTCTTATTTTGGAACTCCTGCCAGAGCAACTGCACAAATCATAAGGGCAAATTAATAGGTTCTAAGGATGGTATTCCCAGAATAGCGCAAGTTGTTAAAGAAACATAAAACTTTAATTCTCAACAACGATGAAAGGACCAGTTACTGCGACAAAGCCCTACTCCCCGCGAGACCCACCCAATACGAAACCCACTTACCGCGAAAGCCACTTACCGCGAAGCTACTAGTAACATGAAACAAAATATAAATTTTATCTATAGGAGACACGGCATATACCGGATCAAAATCCTGGAATGGTTATGGGTCAAGATTCATTTTCTAGACTATTTACTTACAGGTTTATAATCTTCAAGGATTGTGTATATTATTTGTGTTACCAGTTCTTGGATATGTTTAGAAATCTTATCATCGTTTGCCCATTGGTATATATTGATTGTGGTGTCTGTGTTAGCCTGAAATAAATTATACTACATTAGCAGTCATGATAACATTTCATCAAGTTTGAACTCTAAATTAATTGATCATAAGCCATTCACAAAAGCAGTTACACTAACTGTCAGTATCTTGACATAATTAGCAATTTACGGTACTCATATGTTAGTGAGCATGTTCAGTATTTTGTTTTGAACCAAAGAACCAATCATACATCATTGTGTTACCTTTTCTATACATTTTTTCAAGACGGATAATGTGCTTTCAATCCATGTTTCTTGTAGTTTGTTTTCGATGAAAGCCACTTTAGCCAGTTCAGACCATTTCTGCAAGATAAGTGTAACACTTATTTGATCTTGAGCTAACATTGATAATGTATCAAACTAATTTGGCCCATCTGCGTACATTACTCAAATAGACATAGAATACCTGTAGATATTTTGGCTGAAATATGTTCTATTATGGAATGTGGACAATTTTATTATTGTTTTTCTTTGTTAGAATTTAAGCCTTAAAATATACATGTACTAACTGCTTACCATAAGTTCCCTTTTCAAACCAATTCTTTCATTAGGTAAATCACAGGACATTGATATCCCCAACAATGAGGAAACTTTCTTGATATCTTCCATGAGCTCATCAGTGGTGAGTTTTTCACCATTCGATCCACTGCGTTCTAACAACAATTTTGTCATATTAACTTCGCTGACAAAAAACTTAGCAACAATCAATATTTTCTCCATTTCAAGTTTCTTTTCCTTAGCTACTGCAATGACTAATTCTTTCGCAACCTTGTAGGCATGAGTTCGCATTTCATTCATCAGTAATGTGTGCTCATTTTCACTGAAATAGAAATAGTATAACACAACTTAGGTAATTTTTGCCAATTTCACAGTTCCCATCGTATTGGAACAAATTGAGACTCAAATAATGCAGTGACAACCAGCAACACGTACATGTATGTTGAGACTCCCCTCAACTAATATCCAGTCATTACTATCTCAGTATCCCAATCGCTGCCAAGTCTTTAAATTGAGCCACAAGTTCTATGTCTCACATACAAATGTTTTGTTATGACAAAAAGAGACATTCTGATAACTAAAATAACAATTTACCTTTGTGTTTCTTCTGAGACAGATTTCATGTTCATTTCGTCAAAAAGTTCTAAAATACTACAACATTTCTGACTAAGATGATACTGTTGGGCAACAAAATATTTCAGTTAAAACCAATTTACACACATAACGTAGATGAATTGTATCAACACTATGGTTTGAAATTTAACCACTGAAACAATTTATTGTAACCATGCAAGGGTGTAAACAGTTAGGGCATATTTATATATAAAACTAGTAGTCCTGTATAGTACAGTACTAACTAGTACTGTTAAATGAAACACATACTGGCATTTTGGATGCAAATCATCTGCTGGGCCAATGACAAATTTATTCGCTGATGGTGGGACAAACATGTTAGCAAGAATAATTGTAAAACAGCAAAAAAATTACCTTCGAATCCGATATATCCTTCAATAATCTGGCATAACAAATGTACACCGGTAATTTGTGGTTTGATTTGAAGAACTGAACTGTGAAATCAGAATATGGATTTATTGGATATATCAATGCTCTTGATAACTTTGGGTAGATATTGAAATATGGACCAAGCAAGCTGGATGCCTTCGGAAATATATCTCTACAAGGAAATAATGAGTGATAGTCCAGGATTAAACACTTCACTCAACTTGTTGTAGGTATGAGTATATATGACATCAATTGTTGAGACAGAAACACTTACACTGAATAGTTATGACATCTATGAATGCTTATGTTGTGGATGCCCCACCATTCTTTGGTAACTATTTCTTTGGTGACCATATCTTTACACTTGGGTGGCTCAGTATCTCCAGATAGAAGACACAGGAGAGGAAGACAATATAACCAGTATTCTTTATGTGAAAAGTCTGATCGAATCAAGTGATTACAGACGTTTTCAACAGTCTTAACTAATTCTTGTGTGTTACTATGAAAGCGAATAGATACAGGAATGTGATAAATGTGCCCCAAAGAAATGTACATTTTGATTTTATTTTTACTCTGTAATTAGCTACTACATTTTACCAAGGGATCCAGCCGATCCAGGTTCAGGCTTTGCATGGCAATTTGCTACTTGTTGCAACAAATATATACATGTATAGTCCATGGGCTGACATGCATGCATGGCATGTAGTCCCAGTTAGTTATTGAATTTAAGATATATAATTTTGTTTATAGTAATATAGCTGGAATATAAACATGTCAGGAATATGATTATGATGATTGTTTAACATTAAAATGATTGACATTTGTATCTGATCGTTGATTCGAACGAGTATTGAGAGATATTGCTCTAGAACAGCATTAATTAAAACAAAATCAGCCATTTTGAATACATGTATAATGAATATATGAAATTTGAACATAATCAGTCAAAGCATGTCAGAGATATGGCTCTAGAAGCCCATTCATGAATCATCAGCCATTCTGAATCTGATCTGAAAAATAAAATGACATGCATCAGGAACCCATAATGTATAATCTATGTTCCAAGTTTGAACAAAATCATTCCAAAAATTCCAGAAATGCTTGCTATTTGATGATATTTTAGCACAAAAATGGCCATCATTCGGCCATTTTTAATAGGATCGTCAAACCAATATATCTGTATATCTATGACATGATGTATAATGAATATGCATGCATGCACAAACACACACGCACGGAGGTCAAAACATAAGTCCCCGTTTTCTGCATCCGAACGGGGACTACCGGGGTAATTAGCCTTCCAAACAAGAAGCTTGGTAACTAATATTTGTCTGCTTCTTTGAGATGTACAGTACAACACGAAAACACTGTGATCCATTTATGAAAATGTATAATCCCCAAGCTAATTAAATTGTTGCGTTGTCTTGGAGTATTTATGTACCAAGATTCATTGAACTAATATGATAAATACATGAGATATTGATAGAAAAGCTGAAACCTGACTAAGTATTATGCAAATCAGGTAATTAATATGCACAGATTTTAATCTAAAACTAATAAGGTCTGGACAACGTAACATACCATCAATGTACCAAGTTTCATTGTAATGTGATGATTACTTGTACTTGAGATATCAGTGGAAAAGTAGAAAATTGACTAATAATTATGCAAATTAAGTCATTAATATGTATGGATTTTTACCCAAAACTAATCAGGTCTTCACCAGAGCATCTATGAGTGTTCATTAGATATCAGTAAAACAGTCATGGAACAGCCAAAAATTAGCTAATTATCATGCAAATTAGGTAATTATTATAATCATGGATTTTAACCAAATCTGCACATTAACCCAGAGCATCTATGCATCAAGTTTCATCACACTGCACTAACTGCAAAGACTCCCATTGTGTGCTTTGCACACAGGAGTCAATAAAACACACACACAAATTAAAATAACTGGCTGTTTAGGTCATTTGTTAAAGATGAACGAAAATGTTTATTCCAAAAGCTCAAGGTGAATCTAAAAACATACTCTAAATATTAATTTTTGCCTATAAGATTAATGTAGTTAGTTGTACCAAGCAACTAAAATCTCAATGTCTGATTCGTCAGTCAAGTAAGGATCAAATTAATTAAACCACTTACTGATTATTTTCTATTTGGGTAAGGTCCTTGTACACAATAGATACCTGATGTTGCAACAGTATGCAATAAAACCCAGCTAAATGTGTCCCTCTTGAGTATATTCAGAGTGTACTCAAGAAATTTGGTCAATACACAGCTAGCAATATGTGACAAGTACTCAAATACCAAAAAAATAAGGTCTATTAACTTTTAGACAAAAAACATTTATAAATATCAGTATAATTAACTCATCATAAACCACCATAGATGATGACACAAGCCAAAATTATATTATTTACCATAAAGTCAAATAAATAATATGATATAAAAGTAATTGTTTCTTGAAAAGAAAATGCTAATTTAAGTTGCAAAACTTGAGCACTATTTACATTGTGAGTCATACACACAATTAAGTGTCAAAACAAACAACTCATCAGATAATTAAGTCAAAAATTAAAATTAAGAAAAAAAATAATCAGATCACAAGAAAAGAACACATATGTTTAGTATTAAGTTTCTGTACAGAGCTGTTAGAAGATACCATTGATTTTTCAATGGGTTTAAAACATTGCAGGAAACACAGTAATATTCCTGATAATTTAGCACATGTGATTATGTTTAACTGTGCTCACTAAATTTACTTTAAAACACTACATATGAGGTATAGCGCCCAAAGGGAGTTGTGTAGTTTAAATGAAAAGCACTTTTTGTCAGGCAAAACAAGATTTTTGTTTCCTCTAGAGTTTAAAATTGACTGCATGGTATCACAACAAACTTACTCGTCTCCAGTACAAAAAAACAACATGTAACAAACTTGAAATTATTAAAGCCCTCCACTGAAAGTATATTTTTGTCTTTTCAGTCCATTGGGTTCGTAATTTGAAGATGCGTGAAGCTACACTCCAAACGACCATAGACAAAAATGACAAGGATTGAAACTGGAGGCATTTGAGGATAATGATAAAACTGCTCTCCCATCATCCACACAAATTAAGGCCCATGCGAACTAAATTTAATCATATTTACTTTTTTGAACAGATATTAATAGCAAAAGTTCTCTTGACGACTAGCCTTACTATGTTCAAGAGATTTAATTTTACTTTTTACTATTTTATAGACTTGTATTCTAATAATGTACTGATATGTTCTATAAGCAAATAAAAATTATTAATAAAAAAGATGTTTCTGTATGTCTGTGTTTATGAGCTCTTGGGTATACCTATACGTGAGAGGTACCCGATAGATTTGAGTTATACACAAGAGGAATCCAACAGACCAAACAGCCCCCAATCATAGCATGATATAGTCCTGCTGTTCAAATGTGAAAATATATTGTAGTGTGTGAACAAACATTGTATGGTAATACATATAGAGAGGATGTAAATATAAATCAGTCAAAGCAGACTTAACTTATATGTAAAAAATCTGAACAAAATCTATATGCACGAATGCCTGAAATTGAGTTTCACAAAGGTTGATATATCAGTATATTACAAGTTACATGTAGCTTCCAAAATATCTCATCAAATTACAAGTTTGCTTTAAATGCATGCTATACATAGACAAAACTAATTAATGAACATTTAATTACGTTTGATGATAATGAAAGGTAATTTACTGTTGTCTCAAACTCGCATGTCAAGGCGTTAGTTTCTGCAACATGGTCGCCACTGCACAACATTGAAAACATGTAGCTATATGTAGTCTGTGCTTTGGTGTGTTAATAGGGGTAGTTGTCATGTCGAGTCGTGTTCAATATTGCTTCCACAGTGATGTATAAAACGTGTGTAAAATAAATTATTCATTTGTTTATACTACTCTTTGCCCTTTGAAATAGCCCATTGCCAATAAAGCATATGTATAGGCAGCATAGTTTAGGAATATCAATTGAAGCAGGTATTTTTCTGGTTTAAGTTTGATTTTTACCAGTCCCGGCCCTCCTAGATAATAACAAAAGCTTGCAAAGTTATAGCCATTTGAATCCGGCTGGAAGTTCCTAATGTGTTCAATTAATGTATCAAGTTTAAACGAAATGCATTCGTGCACATCCAGGATTTGCTCCCAGAATGCATGATTTTTGACTCCCGTGTGCGAAGCACAAAAGGGAATCTTTGCAGTTACCCTGTCTGTATGTCTGTATGTATGTATGTATGTATGTATGTCACTTTTTTTGTTCCACCGTTATCTCAAGAACCACTAATCAAATTTTTGTGAAACTTGGTACATAGATGCTCTGGGATAATGCGCAGAGTTGATTAGGTTTTGGTAAAAATCTATGAATATTAATTACCTAATTTGCATGATAATTAGCTGATTTTTAGCTCTTCCAAGACTGTTCCACTGATATCTGAAGAACCACTCATTGGATTTTGATGAAACTTGGCACATGGATGCTCTGAACTAGTGCGCAGATTTGATTAGTTTTGGGTAAAAATCTATGAATATTAATTATCTAATTTGAATGATAATTAACTGATTTCAAGCTGTTCCATGACTGTTCCACTGATATTTGAAGAA